ATTTTTAGGAATAACTCACTGAAATCTGTCCGTACAAGAGTCTAGTAAACATCCCGGGTATGATAAAACTTGAAACACAAAATCATAAATTATAATATAATAATCATAAAAATCAATATAATTTAATTCAATAATATAATCAGACCAAAAACATTGTCATTTGTAATATAGCGCCAAGTTCGCACATCGCTGAGCTCAGTCGCAGAATCGTTTTCAGTGTCTGACGAATTTCCCCACAAATCATCACTCAATTCTGCAAGTGGTTCTAATTTACTATCGCTGTATTCTAGCTGGTCTAAAACCGCTTTTGACATAGAGACATTTTTTGGACGCCATGGACATTTCTCAGTTTCAAGGCAGAAAGAACAGTAAAAAATGCAGTGGCAGGGACAAAGCAGTAGGGACAAAATGTATGTGAAATGCTTTGAAACAGTAATGTTTTACTATGTGATTTTAGTGTATTAGTGGATGTCCGTTTTAAAAAAAATTTTCAAATTTCCCGCCGGTTCTATCCCCTGTACGTCCAAACGCTCGCTGGGACCAGAACACGGAAGACGGATGCCAGCATCGGCCGGAGGAGATGGCCGGGGATGCTGCAGGGGACACATCGCGGGAGCGCAGGACAAGGTAAGTGATCCAGGGATCCCAGAGCAACGCTGCCACGTATTCCCAAGTGTAGCTCGGGGTTACCATTTTTGGCACTGATAATTAACCCCGAGCTACACTCAGGAATACCGCCAGGGAGGTTAAAGAGTCCCTAAAAATTAGAAACATTGGCTTTGAAATGACAGAACTCAATTCTTTAAGGACCCGTGGATGTATGCCATCCGGTCCAGGTGCTTTATTCACCTTTTATTCTGTCTAAATATTTTTGGATCGTATCAATTGTGAGTCAATGTGGATCATCTAGATCTGTGTCAATACCATGCCCATTATGGACAAAAGCTCCCCCATGCTCTCCTTTGTATACACTGAGCTGAAGAAGGTATTTATTAAATTTGCTTTCATTTGTCCCCAGACACACACAGTACTAAAAGAGTTAACCCCGAGCCACACTTGAGATTCCAGTGTAGCGCTTCTCCTGCGATCCTCCAATCCTTACCTTGTCCTGCGATCCCCGATGTCCTCCGCTGTTTCCTCTGGCCATGTCCTCCGTCCTCCAGCATCCGTGTTCTGTTCCCTGAGAGTGTCGGACGCAGGGGGGGCGGAAACGGTGGGAAATTCAAAAAAGTTATAATATGACATACACAGAATACATTATAATCTATTAGGATTACATTACTGTATCAAACCATTTCACCTCAGTTTTGTCCCTAGTGCTTTGTCCAGTGCCCTGCCTGCAGTTTAACCATTCTTTCTGCTTGTAAACTTGAGAACGTCCATGGCATCCCAAAAGTGTCAAAAGCGGTTTTAGACCAGCTAGAAGACAGCGACAGTGAATTAGAATCACTTGTAGAATTCAGCGATAGTGATTAGTGGGGAAATTCATCATGAAAGTGACGACAGTGACAATTTTGCGACTGAGCTATGTGCGAACTTGGTGCTCTATTGACTGTGGTACGGATCAGGCAGTGCCCCCAAGAGTCCCATTTACTGGAGCATCTGGTATGAAAGTAGACGTTGAACATGACAACCCCTTGGCATACTTAAAATTATTTTACTGTTGAGGTTATTGAAAAAATAGTTACTGAGACAAACCGGTACCAAGAGCAACAATTGACTACTCTACATCTGAAGTTTCCAAGAAGCAAAAAGTGGAAACCAGTTACCAAAGATGACACAAATTTCTTGGCCTAATACTTCAGGGAGTGGTGGGGAAACCCTTGCAGAAGTGGTATTGGACAACTAATAAATTACTTGCCACTCCATTCTTTGGCACGGTCATGTCAGAGTACAGATTTTCCCTGATCATGAAATTTTTACACTTCGAAAATAACGAAGAATTTGATGAAACTTCTCATTCTGCACCAAAACTGAAGAAAATGTGGTCAGTATCTCAAATGAATTTAAAGAATTTCCAACTGAGCTATGTGCCAGAAAGAGATATCAGCATAGATGAAAGTCTAATGGCCTACAAGGGAAGGTACAGCTGGGTACAATACATTGCATCAAAGAGAGGACGATTTGGCGTAAAATCCTACATGCTATGCGAATAGTCAACTGGCTACATTTGGAATTCAGTCATGTACACTGGAAAAGGAACAAAATTCAATCCAAAATACAGCAACTATGGAATGGCAACATCTTCCTTTCTTTCACTAATTGAGCCATTGCTAATAGAGGGCTATTGCGTAACAACAACTTTTATACGTCTCCTGAACTTTGAGTTTCTTCTGCAAAGCAAAACAGATGCCTATGGAACCTGTTAGGGATAACCGGGCCGACATACCGCCAATGTTTGGCAATAAGCTGAAGACTGGAGAAATGGTTGACTGACAGAAAAGCAAAATGATTGCACTGCGCTGGCGTGACTAGAAAGATGTGTGCCTAATGAGTACAATATATAATACCTCCACTGTTATGGTGTGCACAAATGGTGGGAAAGAAATCATGAAGCCACAAGTAGTGATAGACTACAATAACACCATGAGAGGTGTCGACAGCCAACCAAGCAATGACATTCTACCCAGCAATGAGGAAACTGCAAAACAAGTACTAGAAGATCTTCAAGCAACTTCTTGAGCAATGCTTGTGGAATGCCTGCATACTGCTAAAAAAAGAGTGACAAGCCTGTGATTCATTCTGACTTAATTTGGAAAATTGCCGAAAGTATCTTTGTGAACCACCAAACACCATCAATGGTTGTGAATAGAGGTCGTCATGCTGTTGGTGTTGTCAACCCAGAACTCCTGACTGGTCGTCACTTTGTGGACTACATCCCACCAACTGAGAAAAAGTCAGCACCTACAAGGATGTGCGTGGTTTGTTGCTCGAAGCGAGATGACATTGGAAAGAAAATCAGAAAGGAAACCAGGTTCCATTGTCCTGATTGTGACGTCGGACTTTGTGCAGTCCCATGTTTCAAAATTTTTCATACCCGGGAGGTTTACTAAACCAATATGCAGTGTCTAGTAATACTGCACTCTTGTTTGGACAAATTTCAGTGTTTTTGGTTTGATTACATTATTGAATTACATTTATTATTTATAATATTATTTTTTATAATTTATTATATTATAATTTATGATTTTTGTGTTTCAAACTTTATCATACTTGGGATGTTTACTAGACTTGTTTGGACAGATTTAAGTGAGTTATTCCTAAGAATTATAGGCCTACAATATAAAACATCAATTTCCATGCAAAACAATATACCTCTTTGACATTCAAAAATACTGACATAATCAGACCTCCAGGGAGGTCAAAATTGAGCATTTTTATTTTTCCCATATGTGCTTGCTGTTTACAGCTAACCATAAATGAAATCGTGTCGTGGTCACTGCTACCCAGATATTCTTTTATATGGTCATTCGTAATAAGCGCTGCATGGTTTGAGATTACCAGGTCCAGCAGAGCATCATTCTTAGTTTGGGCCTCTATGAACTGTACCATAAAATTATCCTGTAGTAGGTTTATAAATGTTTGCCCTTTAACTGTTCCTGTAGTGCCATTACTCCAGTCAATTTCCGGATAGTTAAAATCCCCCATTGTTACAACTGTCCCAGCTCTTGCAGCCTTTTTGATTTGTGCAAGGAGCTGAGTCTCCACCTCCTCATTAACACTGGGAGGCCTATAACAAAATCCAATTATTACCTTTGTAGTACGCACCCCCATGTGCAGTTCCACCCATAATGCTTCAGCCTCATCACACTCTCCATGGACTAGATCCTCTTTCACACTCTGAGATCATTTCTCACATAGACAGACATCACCACCTTTCCTGTTTACTTTGTCTCTCCAACAGAGAACATAGCCAGGAATATTAATGGCCCAGTCATGTGAAGAATGAAGCCAAGATTCAGCTATACCAATTAAATCATAGTTCTCTTCATGCACCAAAGCTTCCAACTCAACTATTTTACAAATGGTACCAATTCCAGTGGTTGTTTGTAACCTGGGAGCCTTGTTGTCTGCCATAGCCCTCCCCCTATCTTTCTCCATTCCACCCACCAAAAAGGACTGACCCCTGTCTGATCTGTCTACCCCATTATAATCTAATTCTCCCTCCCCTCTCGATCCTAGTTTAAATACTTGTATGAAAAATTCTCCTGTTCTCTTTGTGTTGCTTTCTTTGTGTGAAATACCTAGTGTTCCTGATAGTCCCTCTGCTTTACCTATTAAAAACTGTCCACACTAGGCATGAGAGCACACTGTGACCAGTTTGTTAGCTCAGTTTGTTAGCTTTGCTGGGAACTCAGACTGCTCTCTTCCAATGATCCAATTTGTCCTGAGTCACAATCCCCCCTGCACAGCCATTCACTGGGAAGATCAGCATGCTGCTGGTTTTCCTCCCCCAGCTCTTATGTAGCTGAGAACAGGGATTATGTGATCTTTCTTTTTTTTCTTTTTTTTTTTTAAGGGGGGGGGGGGTATTTGTTTTTTTTTTTAATTTCAATCTATACACAAATGTTATGCCTTTTTTCTATTTTAAACTGAATGGGTTGTTTTACAAGGTGAGGGTTTATGATCACTTTAAGACCCATTTAACAGTTTGTCTGTTCAGCCTTCTGACTAGAACACATGCTGAAATCAGCTTTGTACTGCATTTGAGAGCAGCTGATTCTTGTGATCTTGGTGAAATAGAGAAGGTGTTGATATAGTCAGGCTGACAATTCTTGTTTTTCAGGAGAAATGTTGCTATTGGTTTTAATTGCAACACATCAATGTTATGAATGTTAAAACATTTCATTTTCTTGTCACGTATAACTGTTTTTGTGAAAAAAAAAAAGAAGGTATTTGTACATCAAATATTTGTTGCCTCTATGCAACTCTACTGAAGCTTCTGTTTTGTGTGGTTCTGCAACAACTTTCAATATAAAAATGCATACCTTTTAATACAGTGGTAGTGAAGAGGCCCTGTCCAATGAAGACTGTGAGAATGTCTACCACTTGGTGTACTCTGCACATCGGCCAGTAGCTGTAGCAGCTGGGGAATTCCTGCACAAGAAGTAAGTGTATTTTTCAATGTAGTGTTTTATATGCCAGGGTTTTCCAGCACCAAAGTAAACTGGCCAGGGAGGTTACTCATGGTTACAGGAAAATGACTGCTTAACATGAACATGTCTACATTTTAAAACTAAGTGTTTTCTAAGGACATGAACCTGCTCCTAGCTTAATTTGTAGGAATCTTTGCTCTGTGTGCCCACCTCATTAAATTCATATTTGCTGGGTCCTTAAGGGGGAAGTCCAATTATCCCATTGTCCAGTAAGAGTGTATTAGTATTTATTAGCTATCTAATTTTACAGGGTTCAGGCTTGTGGAAGTGAAGCAAAATCAAACGATCATTTTGTGTATTTTTAGGCTAATAGTGACTTAATTTTGGCGTTGGGGTTATAAATTAACGTCTTCTTTACTTGGTAAATTTTTCAGCTTTAATCCCATTAGCTGAATAGCTTCAAATTGATAAGCACATGAACTCACTTTTGTGTATAGCTGTTTATTTGAACCTGATTTATGCAATGTGCATCATGTAAATAAAGCTCAAGCTTGTCTTGATTTTAATTGACTCGCTTCTTATGGCCATTGAAGTCAAACTGTTCAGCCTTTCTGCTTTTGATGAAGCACTCTCTGTGACTTTAAATTTCAGTCTACCAGAGTTTTAGAACCCATAAAAAGATGTTAATGGTTCTGCCTCAACTATCGCTTTATGAACTTTATAAAACTTAAGGTCTCCGCTCAAGCTTCTGTAAGTCAGATAGCGATTCCTGGATGCTGGCTGGCCAATAGTCCTACGATCCTCACATACTGTGGATATGCATAGAAAAAGGTCCCAAACACCACACACACCGAGCAAAGCCATTAGCAAACAGGTAAAAGCAGTCAACTTCATCCATAGCCATGCTCCAACTGTATTTCACCCCGCCTATTGGGCTTAATCATTATCATAATTAAGCCCCATGGGTGGGGTGAAATGCATTGGGAGTGTGGCTGTGGATGAAGTTGGCTAAGGCTGCCTTCTCCTGTTTGCTAACGGCTGTGCTAGGTGTGTGGTGTTTGGGACCTTGCTTTATGCATACAGCTTTATGAAACTGGACAAACCACCTAGACCCAGTCTGTACTGGCAGTATTGGCAATATGCTGAGAATCCACAGGAAGTGTTCAATTCGCCAAAAAGGCCCAGAGTGAAATCTATTGTACTGTATTGCAGATGTACATAAAAAACGAGTTTGGGGAAGCATAGAATGTGTAACTAAGGGCTATACAGGATGGGGAGGAACAGGAGACTGTAACAAAACAGCAAACATGGCAATAACAATAGGCAGATTGAGCACATTTCTCTTTGAAACATTTGACTTTGTAGGATGTTGAGCTGTAAGCTTTTCTCTATATTTTTTAGGTTATTTAGTAGACATGACCCACAAGCGGAAGAGGCCTTGGCCAAAAGAAGGGGTCGGAGCAGCCCTAATGGAAATCTTCTAAAAATGCTTGTGCTTTTCTTTCTTGAGAGTGAGGTAGGATATTGCTATATTTCAGATTAAGTATATGAAAGAGATTGTGTATAAAAGTAACATGGCTGTTAAAATGTTAATTTATATCCATAAAGTAAACATAGTGGTTCTAGATCTGTTAAGTATAATTTCTTTTATAAAAAAAACTTTAATTGCACTCTGCATTTTTCCTTTTGCTCAGAATTGTGTATGTTTAATCCCATAGTTACATGAGCATGCTGCATACCTTGTTGACAGTTTATGGGAAAGTTCCCAAGAGCTTCTGAAGGACTGGGAATGTATGGCAGAGCTGCTAGTTGAAGAGCCAATACAAGGGGAGGAAGGTAGGTATTATAGACCTTATCATTTTGTTATGTTAAACATTGATACAGTTCAACATTCTAATCCATGAGGAGCAAAATCAGACCAAACAAATGCTACATATAGGACTTCATTAAATAGCCCAACTAGATGTTTAGTTAAAGGCATGCTGGAAATTGTAGTCCCTTTAACTTATTACACTATGGTAAAATTAATTTTATGTTCAGTGTATAACCTATGTGATAATAGTTGTCCGATGGCTTCAAATGTACAAATGCCCATGCAATCATCGAACTGAAAAATATAGGAGGAGATTAACTCAAAACATTTTAGTTGTGGTGATGAGCATTTGATAAAACAATGGCTCGCACATTATCTGCTTAAACCCCTGCTTATTTCACATCATACCTACTGAAATGGTCCAGTATCTTGCTGTTGATTGCTGTCTGATGGCAGCTTTTTCTTGGGGACCTTTTGAAATCCATTACCTTACAGAGTAAATTTGAGGATTTGTATATCACTTACAAAGCTTGTACAAATTTTCCTATGACTTTACTGCCTTTGTAGGCTGGCATTACTTGCCTCTCCTCCTTGAGGCTCCTTTTGACCCACTTACTATGAACAAGTAGTGATAATCAAAGTTCTGTGGTTTTTTTTTTTTGGTTTTTTTTAATTGCGTTTTATGCATGCTTGTTAAGGGGGATTCTGAAATAGTGAAGTTACCAAAAACTATTAGTTTCAAAAGGAAGCCAGTCATAATAGGTCCCATTAAGCGCTCCCAGAGGATTGAATATAGCAGACTGTACCCTAAAACATTTTTTTTTAGGAATCTCTACTGTTTTGTTTCAATGTGTGTTTTATATCAATAAATAGTAGTGTTGCCTGCCTAGAGAGGAGACTGTCACTGACACTTAGGGGTCCAGACAGTCATTTTCATGTGCCCATGGCCCCAGGCACCATATCTTGCCCTCCCTGAGCTGGGAAAGGGGTGGGGCAGCATTTTGTTTGCTGGGCATTGCAGACTGGGTGAGAGGCTCTCTTGTTGGGAGGGTAAAGCTGTTTCTCTCTTTCCCTCCCTCTCGGGGCAAAGAGGTCTCTCTCTCTCTCTCTGGGGGCAAAGTTGTCTCTCTCTTTGGGGGCAAAGTTGCCTCTCTCTCTTTGGGGGCAAAGTTGCCTCTCTCTCTTTGGGGGCCAAGTTGTCTCTCTCTCTTGGGGGCCAAGCTGTCTCTCTCTCTCTTTGGGGGCCAGGCTGTCTCTCTCTCTTTGGGGGCCAAGTTGTCTCTCTCTCTCTTTGGGGGCCAAGTTGTCTCTCTCTCTCTCTCTCTCTTTGGGGGCCAAGTTGTCTCTCTTTGGGGGCCAAGTTGTCTCTCTCTCTTTGGGGGCCAAGTTGCCTCTCTCTCTCTTTGGGGGCCAAGTTGCCCTCTCTCTCTTGGGGGCCAAGTTGTCTCTCTCTCTTTGGGGGCCAAGTTGCCTCTCTCTCTCTCTCTCTTCTTTGGGGGCCAAGTTGCCTCTCTCTCTTTGGGGGCCAAGTTGTCTCTCTCTCTCTTTGGGGGCCAAGTTGTCTCTCTCTCTGGGGGCCTCTCTTTGGGGGCCAAGTTGCCTCTCTCTCTCTTTGGGGGCCAAGTTGTCCTCTCTCTCTTTGGGGGCCAAGTGGTCTCTCTCTCTCTTTGGGGGCCAAGCGGTCTCTCTCTCTCTTTGGGGGCAAAGGGGCAAAGCGGTCTCTCTCTCTTTGGGGGCAAAGCGGTCTCTCTCTCTTTGGGGGCCAAAGCGGTCTCTCTCTCTTTGGGGGCAAAGCGGTTCTCTCTCTCTCTTTTTGGGGGCAAAGCGGTCTCTCTCTCTCTCTCTCTCTTTGGGGGCAAAGCGGGTCTCTCTCTCTCTTTGGGGGCAAAGCGGTCTCTCTCTCTCTTTGGGGGCAAAGCTCTTTGGGGGCAAAGCGGTCTCTCTCTCTCTTTGGGGGCAAAGCGGTCGGTCTCTCTCTCTCTCTTTGGGGGCAAAGCGGTCTCTCTCTCTCTTTGGGGGCAAAGCGGTCTCAAAGCTCTCTCTCTCTTTGGGGGCAAAGCGGTCTCTCTCTCTCTTTGGGGGCAAAGCTCGGTCTCTCTCTCTCTCTCTTGGGGGCAAAGCTCTCTCTCTCTCTTTGGGGGCAAAGCTGTCTCTCTCTCTTTGGGGGAAAAGCGGCTCTCTCTCTTTTGGGGGGCAAAGCTCTCTCTCTCTTTGGGGGCAAAGCTGCCCTCTCTCTTTGGGGGCAAAGTGTCTCTCTCTTTTGGGGGGCAAAGCTCTCTCTCTCTCTCTCTCTCTCTCTCTCAAAGCCCTCCTCTGCAAAGCTGTCACTCTCTTTGGGGGCAAAGCGCTCCCTCTCTCTCTCTCTCTCTCCAAAGCTGCCCCCTCTCTCTGGGAGTAAAAGTGTCTCTCTTTTTGGGGGCAAAGCTGTCTCTCTCTCTCTTTGGGGGCAAAGCCCCCCTGTCTCTCTCTCTTGGGGGCAAAGCCCCCCCCCCCTCTCTCTCTCTGGGGGCAAAGCCCCCCTCTCTCTCTCTTTGGGGGCAAAAAGCTGGGGGGACAAAGCCCTCTCCTCTCTTTGGGGGAAATCTCTCTTTGGGGGCAAAGCTGCTCTCTCTCTCTCTCTTTGGGGGCAAAGCTCTCTCTCTCAAAGCTGACGCTCTCTCTCTCTCTCTCTCTTTGGGGGCAAAGCTGTCTCTCTCTCTCTCTTTGGGGCCAAGTTGTCTCTCTCTCTTTGGGGGCCAAAGTTGTCTCTCTCTCTTTGGGGGCCAAGTTGTCTCTCTCTCTCTTGGGGGCCAAGTTGTCTCTCTCTCTTTGGGGGCCAAGTTGTCTCTCTCTCTTTGGGGGCCAAGCGGTCTCTCTCTCTTTGGGGGCCAAGCGGTCTCTCTCTCTTTGGGGGGGCAAAGCGGTCTCTCTCTCTTTGGGGGCAAAGCGGTCTCTCTCTCTCTTTGGGGGCAAAGCGGTCTCTCTCTCTTTGGGGGCAAAGCGGTCTCTCTCTCTCTCCGGGGACAAAGCTCTCTCTCTCTCTCTCTGCAAAGCTGCCACTCTGTCTTGGGGGGAAAGCGCTCTCTCTCTCTCTCTCTCTCTCTCTCTCTCTCTCTCCCCAAAGCTGCCCCCCTCTCTCTCTTTGGGGAGTAAAAGTGTGTCTCTCTTTTGGGGCAAAGCCTCTCTCTCTCTCTCTCTCTCTCTCTCTCTCTCTCTCTCTCTCTCTCTCTCTCTCTCTTGGGGGCAAAGCCCCCCCTCTCTCTCTCTCTCTGGGGGCAAAGCCCCCCCCTCTCTCTCTCTCGGCAAAGCTGACCCCTATCTCTCTTTGGGGGACAAAGCTGCCTCTCTTTTGGGGAAAAGCCCCCCCCTCTCTCTCTTTGGGGGAAAGCTCTCTCTCTCTCTCTCTTTGGGAGCAAAGCTGACGCTCTCTCTTTGGGGGCAAAGCTCTCTCTCTCTCTCTCTCTTTGGGAGCAAGCTGTCTCTCTCTCTGGGGGCAAAGCTCTCTCTCTCTCTGGGGGCAAAGCGGTCTCTCTCTGGGGGCAAAGCGGTCTCTCTCTCTCTCTTTGGGGGCAAAGCGGTCTCTCTCTCTCTCTCTTTGGGGGCAAAGCGGTCTCTCTCACTCTCTCTCTTTGCGGGCAATGCTCTCTCTCGTTGAGGGCAAAGCCGTCTCTCTCTCTCTCTCTCTCTCTCTCTCTCTCTCCTTTCTCTGAGGGCAACGATGTATCTCTCTTTGGGGCAAAGCTGTCTATCTCTCTTTGGGGGCAAAGCTGTCTCTCTCTCACTTTGGGGGCAAAGCTGTCTCTCTCTCACTTTGGGGGCAAAGCTGTCTCTCTCTCACTTTGGGGGCAAAGCTGTCTCTCTGTGGGGGCAAAGCTGTCTCTCTGTGGGGGCAAAGCTGTTTCTCTGTGGGGGCAAAGCTGTTTCTCTGTGGGGGCAAAGCTGTTTCTCTGTGGGGGCAAAGCTGTTTCTCTGTGGGGGCAAAGCTGTTTCTCTGTGGGGGCAAAGCTGTTTCTCTGCGGGGGCCGAGCGGTCTCTCCCTCTGCGGGGGCCGAGCGGTCTCTCCCTCTGCGGGGGCCGAGCGGTCTCTCCTCTCTGCGGGGGCCGAGCGGTCTCTCTCCCTGCTGCGGGGGCCGAGCGGGTCTCTCCCTCTGCGGGGCCGAGCGGTCTCTCCCCCTCTGCGGGGGCCGAGCGGTCTCTCCCTCTGCGGGGGCCGAGCGGTCTCTCCCTCTGCGGGGGCCGAGCGGTCTCTCCCTCTGCGGGGGCCGAGCGGTCTCTCCCTCTGCGGGGGGGGCCGAGCGGTCTCTCCCTCTGCGGGGGCCGAGCGGTCTCTCCCTCTGCGGGGGGCCGAGCGGTCACTCTCTGTCTCTCTCTTTTGGGGCAAAGCCGCCGCCTCTCTCTCTATTGGGCAAAGCCGCCTCTCTCTCTATTGGGCAAAGCCGCCTCTCTCTCTATTGGGCAAAGCCGCCTCTCTCTCTTTTGGGCAAAGCCGCCTCTCTCTCTCTTTTGGGCAAAGCCGCCTCTCTCTCTCTTTTGGGGCAAAGCCGCCCCTCTCTCTCTTGTGGGGCAAAGCCGTCTCTCTTTTGGGGCAAAGCCGTCTCTCTTTTGGGGCAAAGCCGTCTCTCTTTTGGGGCAAAGCCGCCTCTCTTTTGGGGCAAAGCCGCCTCTCTCTTTTGGGGCAAAGCCGTCTCTCTTTTGGGGCAAAGCCGTCTCTCTTTTGGGGCAAAGCCGTCTCTCTCTCTCTCTCTCTCTTTTGGGGCAAAGCCGTCTCTCTCTCTCTCCCTCTCCGGCCATAGTGGTCTCTCTGTGGGTGGCAAAGTGGTCTCTATTTCTGTGGGGGGCAGATCAGCCTCTCTCTCTCTCTGTGAGGGCAAAGTGGTCTCTCTCTCGCCAAAGTGGTCTCTCGCCAAAGTGGTCTCTCTCTCTCGCCAAAGTGGGCCTCTCTCTTGCCAAAGTGGCTCTCTCTCTCTCTCTCTCTCTCTCCAAAGTGGCCTCTCTCTCTTGCCAAAGTGGTCTCTCTCTCTCTCGCCAAAGTGGTCTCTCTTGC